CTTTTTCACTTGGTGAAAAAAGTGAATAACACCATACTGGATATAATAGCAAAGGAATGCCTTAGAAGGCAGCAGCCTGATTACACTTGATCGATGTAGACTATCTACATCATAAGCTCAGCTCAGGGCTTCCTTCACCCGAGAGTCATACATTGTGTGCTATGGGAGATCGGGACAGCGATAGTGATGATGCAACCGCATTTTCCTGGGGGTCTGCTGTGTTTCGGAAACGCCTCCATAACCGACTTCCCACATGTGGAATCAAATCGTGGTAGCTCCGCTGAAGCTAATTAGAGGTGTATTGCAGTTTCACGACCCGTTTTACGTGAAGCGGCGTAAAACTCGGTGAAAAACGCGATAATATTCGCGGTGATATGCAGAAGTCGTGAAAATTGTTTACCACTAGTGTTTTTCATATCACTAGGTTGGTGAAGTTCCGAAACAAAAATAGGAGGAATCAGGAGGAGTTTACTAGTTCTTTACTGGAGTTTCACGACCCGTTTTACGTGAAGTGGCGTAAAACTCTGTGTAAAACGCGATATTATTCGCGGTGATATGCAGAAGTCGTGAAAATTGTTTACCACTAGTGTTTTTCATATCACTAGGTTGGTGAAGTTCCGAAACAAAAATAGGAGGAATCAGAAGGAGTTTACTAGTTCTTTACTGGAGTTTCACGACCCGTTTTACGTGAAGTGGCATGAAACTCGGTGAAAAACGCGGTATTATTCGCGGTGATATGCAGAAGTCGTGAAATTTGTTTTTCACTAGTGTTTTCCATAAACACACTGATGACTGATCCGTTGGAGAAAAAAATTTAATGATTGTTTTCTTGATTTCTCAGGACGGGTGGTGCGGAAGCGATAGAAGGAAAAATTTCTCGGCGGGTGCTAGCAGCCACTGGAACAGCAAAAATCAGAAATATTTTTGAAGCGAGTGGCGTTTTAGAACAACTCGTTGAAGGTTTTAAAAATGAAACTAACCCAACACTGGTGAGTTGAAAATTTTCGGAGAAAAATTTTCGGTTTTCTTTCTGTTTTTAGGTGGAAAAAATGCTGATTATGTTCCGAAATTTGGCAGTTTTTCGTCCGATTTCTAAAAGGCTCATGGATTTGGGTCTCCCTATATTACTTCTTCGCTTACTCAAAGCTAATGTACATAAAACTGGCGAAGTAAGGTCGTTGTGAAAAATTGAAAAAATTTTAGTGAGTTTGGTAAAATATGCACATGGTCAACTCCATGTGTCGGTGACAATATGAAAATATGGGTGAGTTTAGCAATACATGTTTGCTTTCCTCAGTTGAGCTCAAGAGTTTTATTTTCGTAAAGTATAGAAGTTCGCATACGAATTCGGGTAGAAGTGTACAGAAAGCAATGAGAATTTCTCCGGAAAATTTCTTCAGATTTTCACATTATCACCAACACATGTAGTTGACCATGTGCATATTTTCCAAGGTTCGTCAGGGCAACGCTACTCGCCACATTTTGAGACATTTACGGTATGGAGTTTCACAACCCGTTTTACGTAAAGCGGCGTAATACTTTGTGACAAAAACGATATTCGCGGTGATATGCAGTAGTCGTGAAATATATTTTCACTAGTGTTTTCCATATCACTAGGGTGGTGAAACTCTAATATTATTATTTTGTTATACTCCATATACAAAATGTTTACTGATTGACAATACATATACGTAATTGGTTGATATTACATCAGAGTTTCGCAACCCGTTTTAGGTGTAGTAGCGTAATACTCTGTGAAAAACGCGATATTATTCGCGGCGATATGCAGTAGTCGTGAAATATATTTTTCGCTGGTGTTTTTCATATCACTAGGGTGGGGTAATGTGAGATGTATACAGCTTGTGTGGGTCTGCATGCATCGAAAAAATGACAGAATTTTCTGTGTGCGAGGCTTCGCTTCGAAAAAAGACGATTTTAGAATATAATTCCTCCTATTTTTGTACAGTGGAGTTTCACCACCCTAGTGATATGAAAAACAAATTTGACGACTACTGCATATCACCGCGAATAATATCGCGTTTTTCACCGAGTATTACGCCACTCCACATAAAACGGGTTGTGAAACTTCATTAAATTAACTGCTTTTTTGAATTGTGTGTTTTTAAGGTCGCACTGGTAGCAACGGAGCTTTTGGGAAGCATAGTTGAAATAGATGCGTCCAATGCATCGGCTGTTTGCGGTGAATCTGTTGATTTTTTCGAGGTAAGTATTATGGAATTTCCCCTAAAAACAGTGGGGAAAATTATATTTCACGACTACTGCATACCACCGCAAATATCGCGTTTTTAGAGAGAATTACGCCACTTCACGTAAAACGGGTGAACCAAACTGTTATGCGAAGTAGTATTTTAAAATTAGCCTTCAATTTTCGGAGAGTTCGTAAGTCAACTTTGAGTAATATCAACATGATAACGATGTGAATCGATTGACACCAACGTTTTAGAAGCGTTCCGCAGTCTATAGTCGTACTAGTTTCAAACTGAAGAAAGCCATACCGGAAATCTAGATATGCATAACTGTTTGGTTCACACTGAAATCTAAATCGCGATGAATATTTTAGGTCCTTTCGGAAGTGCTCAATAAGCTCGTGTCTATGCCTGGGGTGAAGTATAAAATATGTCGTAACGATTTGGCAACAATTTTGATGTTGCTGATGGAAAACGGTGTAAGTCTGGCGTGGCTGTGTGAGAAACATGTGCATGTGTTGGTGACAATATGAAGATTGTGGGGAAATTATTTGTCGTTTTTTTTGTAAATTTTTACCAGAATTTTTGTGTAATCTTTGATAATTGGTGAAAAAACTCCTGAGCTCAGCTCAGGAAAGTGAAGATGCAAAAAGTAGTGTTTTTTTTCAGCGTGGAAAGTTCTTCAAGAATTTGCTAAAATCGGGATTGTTCGCAATGATGTTATTTTGGGTTGTCAAAGACTGCGGTGACTACAACAGAGTTAAGGAGTTTGCTCAACGAAGCGTGCAGAATATGAGGCCGCTTACGGACCCATTGGTGAGGGGGGTAATTTTGTGGCGAGTGACGGAATTTCTCAGACCATATTCGACGTTAACGCATTGCAACCGGGGAGGATGGGCTCGGCTGAGGATGTCCAGTTGAGAATAGTTTTGTGGCGCGCGGTAGCGTTCGCTGTCAGCAACGATGAGGATTGTGCGAAAGAAGGGGGAAATTACGGTAGGGAGATTCATTGAAATGTGGAGAATTTAAAATGATTTCTTTATATGGGAGATACGAAGTGACGAAGTTTTCTTTATTTCATATCGTTGTCGGATGAATTGCATGGGCTTGTATGAAAATGTGTTGATGAGGGAGTGGGGGTGGTTTTCGTATAGTGGTGATGCACCCGTGATATGAATAACATTAGTGAATAACATATTTCACAATTCACTTCGCGGAAGACAATTGTATTTTGCGCTGCGGAAACATATGCATCTTATAATTCACATTGGAGTAAGCGAGTCGTGAAACTCTATTGAAATTTTCCCTGGTAGGATTTATAACAGCTTTGTTGACCGCGTTGAAAGAGTCGGGAGTATCCGGAGGCTCTACTACGTATGGTATAATGCTACAATCAGCAGCATTATCATCGATATCGATGGTGTTAGAAGGAACTGTTGGTTTGAGAGAAGTCTTCGCTGAGGTAGGCTGCAGATTAAGTTTTGGTTGAAAAATGTTTCCGGGCCATTTGTTGTGATAGGAAAATAAATTTCGCAATTCACTCCATAATGATTTTGAATTGAATTTAAACGGTAGTTGTTTTTGTTTCGCGTTTTTCGTGCCATTTCACGTGAAACGGGGGGAATTAAATCACTAGGGACGCGAAATTTTCGTACTTCATCAATATAATATTACATCTAGTTTTTAATTGGTTAGTTCATCGTGTTAAAACTTCTACTGGTTGATCATCCCGTACGCGTGCACGCTCGAGATTGCAATATGTAGTTATCGTCGTTGATAAAGAGTCATTATGATAATTTTATGTTGAAGTAGAACATTTGTTGTTGGTGAGTGGAGATATGAGCGCACAGCGAAGATTCGTGTGGGTATTGGAGGAATTTTTGTCGAGTAAATTATTAGCAATGCGAAATTATATGCATATGGTCGGGAAAAATTTTGGCAATTTTTGTGTTCGATAAACCTCTTTTGAGATTCGAACGGTGTTGTGGGAATATATGTGCGCATGGTATTGGTGACAGCCTGGAAAATCTGAGGAAATTTTGAGGGTGGTTTTTGCACACTTCTACCCGAAACCGTTGGTAAACTTGTGAGCTCAGCTGAGGAAAACAAACATATATTACAACAGCACTTGATTTAACGACGCTACCGTTAGTTTATCTAATGTGTAAAACACGATCTTGGGAGCTCGGAGATTTGGTAGCTCAGTTGAGGCGAGTATAAATAGCAATATTCGAGTGGTGTAATACTCCATGTGAAAAACGCGATATTCGCGATATGACGTGAATGAAAAACACTTGGCGAATTACACCGGACGAATCACTTCATATCACGTTAAACACATCACGTTTTCTACGCGTTTATCACCGCTCACAGGCGTTTTTCGCGAACTGAAATGTGAAATATGTTATTTCACTAGTGTTTTTCATATCTTCATCGAAACTTTACTGTTCAGGCCGATGGGGTGAATATTGTCCTACGGTATGTACAGCGCATGGTGGGAGAACGCCACAGTAGAAGTGGCAGTGTTGATACTCAGCAGCATTACGCGAAGTTGTTGAGTAAATCGCTCAACACCTTGATGCTTGGTAAGCTGTTGAATGTATGTGTTATATTGGAGTTTCACCATTCTAGTGATATGTGGTTAGAAATATATTTCACGACAACTGCATATCACCGCGAATAATACCGCGTTTTTCACAGAGTATGACGCCACTTCACGTAGAACGGGTGGAACTCCATTGTTGTGAACGATTAAATCGGAATTTTTCACCCCGATGAGGAAGTACTTTGCTTAATCTGATCGGGAGAATTTCTGTTCTTTTGGTGAAAATTTTGAACATTTTTCCCGGAAATTTTCCGCCTCGTTGCACTTGGTGATATTGATAATGAATTGTCGCATTCGCAGGATTGGAGTTCTGTAAGGCGAGTGTGACTGAGGAGAATACCGAACTTAGTACCGCAGCTGTACCGATCCTTTGTGGAATCATCGCGATGGATGGTGACACGAAGATGAGACACGGTAAGAATCTTGTATTCTGAAGTATGTTGAATATTATCGTAGCTTTATGTGGGTTTTAGAATTTCGAATGCTTTATTAAACCCATTTTATGAATATTCTATCTCGTCGAGTTTTGAATATTTTATTCTTTAATCGATTTTGAATCTTTTGTTTTCTAACCTTTTTTGAATCTTTTGTTTTCTAACCTATTTTGAATCTTTTGTTTTCAACCTATTTTGAATCTTTTGTTTTCTAACCTTTTTTGAATCTTTTGTTTTTAACCTATTTTGAATCTTTTGTTTTTAACCTATTTTGAATCTTTTGTTTTTAACCTATTTTGAATCTTTTGTTTTTAACCTATTTTGAATCTTTTGTTTTTAACCTATTTTGAATCTTTTCCCCTTGGCACACGTATGTCTTAGTACTTCATTTTTCTCAATTACTGATTTTTGTTATTCTCGAATGTGACGATTTCGACTCATTCGAAATTGTCATTGAAATATCAATTCACTTCAACATACGCTCATCTGTGTTCATTGGAGTTTCACAACCCGTTTTACGTGAAGTGGCGTAAAACTCGGTGAAAAACGCGATATTCGCGGTTATATACAGTAGTCGTGAAATTCGTTTTTCACTAGTGTTTTCGGAACTCCATTATCGGACATCATCTGTATCTTACCTTCTGGACAACATATGTATCAAATAGTCGTCATAGAAACAAAGATATTTTCTGTTGCCAATTTATAGCTGAATGATACCACTCTTTTCTCATCCTCAGACGCCCTCCCCCCGTTGCACAGTGAGTCCCCACGGCAACTCTTCCCAGCTGCTGAACCCGTATCAGTCATACTCAGCAGCCCACCTGTTTTTAGCAGGTCTGAGGATGACAACATTGTTGGAGTTATATCACAGGTGAAGTGGAGAGAAATAATTCGAACGAATGTTCTTGTTGAACTAATTGAGTGCATCTTGAGTCTTTCCTTTTTTTCGTTTTTTTTTGCTTTTTTCTTTTAATTTTTTTGTTTTTTTTTCGTTTTTTTTCGTTTTTTTTGTTTTTTTTCGCTTTTATCGTCTTTTTCCGATCACTATGTCTTTCCAAATTATGTTTTTCTGTTATTCTACTATATTAATTATTATTACTATTTTTTCGACGTGGTTTGATGTATGTTCGCGATAAACGTATCGTTATACCAACTATTCTTATACGGGGTTTTTGTATCAGGAATGTCGGAATTCGGCGATGCAGTGTTTGAGTTTACTCAGCAAGAAAGATCCGAAGCGATTAAAGGAGATCAGAAATTGTGATGGTTTGAGATTAATTGTTCGACAATTACAAAAGTAACAATGGGGCATTCGAAAGTTGTTTCAATTGGAGTTTCACAACCCGTTTTACGTGAAGTGGTGTAAAACTCGTCGAAAAACGCGATATTATTCGCGGTGATATGCAGAAGTCGTGAAATTATGTTTTCCACTAGTGTTTTTACATCACTAGGGTGAAACTTCATTTTATACCTTTACACCGTTGTTGGGATTCCTATGTAGCTCTGCGAGTTCATGAACTAAAGTGTAGACCTACGAACTTAGTTCGAAAATTTATGTATAAAATTTGTGAACTTGTTTTCACAGGAGTTTCACCACCCTAGTGGTGTTGAAAAACAGTAGTGGAAATGTATTTCACGACTACTGCATATCACCGAGTTTTACGCCAATTCACGTTGAACGGGTTGTGAAACTCCAATACCACATATTTTATATTTCACAGATACAGTTCGGGTCGAGAAGCATTGCTGACTGCATGGGGTTGTGATGGAGATGTGGACGGCACGTGAGTGATCGTATAGAAACGGAAAACTTATGTATATTTAGAGAAAATTTCAGTCGGTATTGGTGTGAGAAAATATGCACATGGTCAACCACATATGTTGGTAACAACCTGACAATTCTGAAGAAATTTTGGCAAATTATGGTAAATTCCTGCACATTTCTACCATACTTTGTACATAAACTCCTATAATTAGTGAGGAAACTCCTAGGATCAGTTGAGGAAAGCGAACATATATCACAACACTGTATGCAGGTGGTGAATTTAGTATTAACATGTGAGGAGAAGGAAATTGCTGAAAATTTTTCGTGTTGTTTTCCGTAAATTTTCATCCCCCCGAGTAGTTTGATTTTCATGATATAATGAGCTCAACTGATGACACCGAACATACATTCTATTAACACTGGTCGCGATGGCGGATTTTTTTCCAATTTTGAGTAAAATTTTAGATATTTTTCCTCTCAGAATTGACGTATATTCTGAAACTTTTCGAATTCGGGAGAAAATTTACGGAGAAATTCAATGTGGGAATGAGGCGCAATTTAAGCACTCGACGAAATGTGGTAGTAATAAAAATATGACAAGACGTGATTTGTATTCTGAAAAAACAGGAATTTTGGGAAAAAATTTCATGATTTTTCGGCGAATACTCTCCAGTTTAGATTTTCAATGAACTTTCTCAGTTGCGATTTTCCGAGGAGAGATTTTGTTGCGGAAAATCGCAACAAAATTTTTCCTCGGAAAGAAAATTTTAGTAAATTTTTTCAGTGCACTTTTTTATCACATCGAATAATTTTAGCATTTTAGATTATCTTCTGGTATCTGCGCGGTTGATTGCGTGTGGAACTGCATAGTTGGTGATAAAAAATCAGAGGAGAAGTTCATAGTTCACTTGAATGGTGTTGGACATTTGTTAGAGTGTTTTGAAGTAGGGCCAAATGTGCTAAAGAGACAAGTGAGTTATTAAAAATGTGATATATTGGAGTTTCACAACCCGTGTTACGTGAAGTGGCGTAATACTCCATGTGAAAAACGCGATATTCGCGGTGGTATATATTTTTCACTGGTGTTTTTCATATCACTAGGGTGAAATTTCATAGGAAAAATACAAAGGAGCAGTATGGGAATATATGTTTGCTTTCCTCATCTGAGCTCGTTAGTTATGACGGTTGTAATACAACTCAAGACTCTTAACCGTCGAAGTATACAAAGGTTCTAAGTGATAAACTTGATGACAAGGTAGATATCACAATAGAGGTTTACGCAACTTCAATGATATCGGGAAGAACCGCAACAGTAAATTAGTTATGAACCTGAGTCCACTAGCTTGACGCTAGGGCACAATTATGGAGACTAGACACACACACAAAGTCACAATAACTTTCTATCAATTATTTCTATAAGAATGCCGCTACCGGCACAAAGTTTCCACACACGAATTTGGGTAGAAGGGCACGAAAAACCTGCGATAATTTTCCAAAATTTCCTCAGAATTTTCATTTTTTTTACCAACACATGTAGTTGACTATGCGCATATATTCTCACACTGCAATGGAGTTTCACCCGTAATTCTAGTGAGAGACTTTTTTTTCACATTTCACTTGGCAAAAAACGCCAAGTGATATGGGGTGACTTGATCGAGAGCGAAGTCGTCTTTAACAGTTGATTTTTTGGGGATAATTGACGA